TTGTTTTTGAAGACAAGTCTCATATAGCTTAGGCTAACCTTGAACTTGCAGTGTAGTGGAGGATGCCTTTGAACTCTTGATTCTCCTGCGTCCATTTCCTAAGTGTTTGGCTTACTGGCATGCATCACCATTACCAGCTTTTCCCATTTGCTCTCAAATTCCTAAGATAGGCATATCTATATTTGTTAAGTGAGGCGTTCTCTATAACATTAAACTTTCCAATTTGCCTGTGAATGCTCTTACTGTTTCTGTGGCCTGTCTCTAGGAACTATGAGAAATGAGCAGGAAATACTGTCAGGACATATCAGTAATTTATCATCAGGCTTGGGAACCTTTTGGGTTTCTACAAACTCTCGGGGCAATATCTTATTCATTGGGCTAAAAGATTCTTTCTGCCTCAGGCCATGAAGAAAGGACTCTGGGAAAAGGAGTGAGGCCTGGTCTGAGAACCTAATCCACACTGCTGCCCAGTGGCCTGCCGCTCACTTCCATTATTCTTTACTTTAGGGCGCACTAACACATTTTCACAGTAGCCGTTCCCTGCATACGTTCTGGGTCATGATAAATTCTACTGATGCACGTTTCCTGCTCTTTGGATTTCAGAGAACTTGTTTTCCTTTCTGCCAATGAAACTCTTCTCCTCCAACCCTGGTACCATATTGATCTATTTTTCAGAAATATATTTTCTGTCATTTGTAGGAACTGCAGTGGGAAGATGGTATTGGCATCTGTGCTCAGTCCATTACAGCTTAGATTTGTCTTCTATGATTTTTCTGTGATTTCTTCTTTCAGCTATGCCTTCATTTGTTTCACTCTACAATGCTACTGAGCACCAACCACCAACTCCGGTCCAAGCTTGATATTGGTTGTCTTTCAAGAAGGCAGTGCTATTACCCATAAATAAAAGGCTGTGAATTTTTTCACATTTTTCATAATAGACTACTCTTTCTTATTTGTAGCAGTCTATGTGCACTTTTTTTTTTAAAGCCTTGGAGGCTTAGCGTGGGTTCAAGACTAATTACCAAAAAAGCAGAGCTCACTGATCTAGGTGTGAGTCAACACGTTCTTTTGTCCTTGCTCACTTAACGTTGGCTAGGTGTCTTCAGATGCTGCTGTCTGATGCCTCTGCATTTATTTGGTCAGATTTCCATTCTCATCAGTAGTATTGGTTTATCTCTCCATTCTGTCTTGTTTGAGTTCTTACTGTTTCTGCCTAGTTCTGACTCCTGTCCTATTTACATAACTCATCTGGCTAATGACTTAGTCCCCGATCTTCATTAGCAGCTCCTAATATTTGTCAGATTGGTGACCTAAGGTCCATTAAGTATATGAATTTATAATCTTTCTTGTTTTGACACAACCCTTATCTTTCTTCCATTAAAAACTATAAATCACACACACACAAAAATAAAATTGCATATGATGAAAAAAAACCCTGTAAATCACTTGTCTGAGTATCATTTCCTTATTTAAGGACATTTAAAATCTTTCATTTGCTTTAAGTGAAATGGCCTTAGGAGCAATATTTTTATAGATTATTTTATTAAGCTGTTTATATAAGTAATGGAAATAGTATAATAATAATTATGGGTACAAATGCAATAATTTTGCTGGTAAAATAGGATCATAATTCTAATAGTGACTAGGAAGTAAGGAACAGGAAGTAAATGCTATATTAATGATTTAATTTGGTTGGGTGGGGTGTGCAGAAATGATTTGGCACAATCTATAGAATTTTGATATGCAAATCAATATAATTTTGGACTGTAAAGACATTGATTCACTAAAATGGATTATTATGATTATAGGGATTCAAACAAGATTTTGAAATTTGTTTATGAAGCAGTATAAGATGAAATTTGGATATTGGTGAACATGTTTTATATTGTTCTTTTAGTCTCTGTGATAGTTAGCTTTAACTATCAACATAATACAATCTAGAATCACTTGGGAAGAAAGCCTCAGTATAGGACTGTCTAGATCAGGTTGGTCTGTGGGGGTTTGATTACGTGAACTGAGGTAGGGAGACTGCCCACTGTGAGCGGCACAATTCCCTAGGCAGGAGATACCGAACTGTATGAGAATGGAGAAAGTGAGCTGAGGACAAGCATGTATGATTAACGATTTCTTTGCCATTTACTAACCGACAAAATCAATGCACAAATATCAAAGGACAGATGGGGAACCTGAGCCGAGTCTCAAGCTACCGCTTACACTTGTCGTTGCTTGTTCCTCACTTGAAGGGGCAGCCTCTTCTTCGTCATGTCCATCCCCAATGAAGACCCCTTGCCTCTTGGACCAAAGCGCTCTTCTTGTGTGGACCTGTGACAGAATTCCCGTAATGTATGCATGTATTCCCGTAATGTTCTGTTCCTGATTATAGATGTGATATGACCTGCCTCTGTCACTTTTCTGTAACTTGGAACTGTGAACTTAAGTAAATCCTTTCTCCCCTAAGTTGCTTTTGTCAGGGTATTTTTTTTTTATCATAGCAACAGGAAAGAAAAATACGACAGTCCTGAATCTCTCACTTCCTTTTTTGTGGGTCAGTTTAATGCTGTTTCTCTGGAAAATCCTGTGCTTTTCTGGCATGGTTCCTATGTAAAGATACTAGGATGTTTCATGGCAAGTGATGATCAATTTGAAACCATGGTCTTAGGTCCAGGGTATTGCTACAAAGATATTTTTGCTTCCCCAAGCTCTTTGAGATGTAAATATCATAACCCAATTGACATGTGTAAATGAATAAAAGGGAATTTGTGGATAACCCACTTTCGAAGATCAGAATCCAGTAAGAGCATGAATTCAGAGTCTCAACATCATTGAGGTGCTATCTGTCTCTTAGCTTTAACTCGGAGTCAGACTTGGAGCAGTGGGACCAGCAATCACTTTTTAAGGCCTTCATACTTGTTCACTTCAAAAACAATGTGCAAGCATTCAAGAAAGAATTAGGAACTGTTTTCAGCAGTTGCATAAGATGGAAACCCAGAAAATGTTATTAAATTTAATAAGAGAGGGAGATGTTCATGTTGTTTGGCTCTCAAGTGATGGAGGTCAGAGCCTGAATCCTGGGGTTAGGGAGGAAAATATGGAACAATGGAGATTGTAGTTACAAATAACCTTTCCTACTTTCCTTCCTTTTTCCTCTCTGTCTCCTCTTTCCCCATTCTTTCTCAAAATGTTAGGTTATTATAGTATTGGTGTTTTGGGAAGTGATTTGGGAGTAGAGAGTAAATTAATGATGTATAATGTAGAAAGAAAACTCATTAGGTGATGGATCATCTGGACCTGTTGCAAAGGTGCAAGGTTGATCTTAGTTATATAGAACAGTTGCTTATTTCTTATGGAGGGTAAAGGCTGGTAGATTTCACACTGGAAAGATATAAAGTGGTATCAACCAAGCTCCAATATGAAAAAACACCAAATTCATGATGATTCAACAAAATATAAGACTGTAGATCCTTTAAGCAAATATTCAGGTTGATAGTCAAGGCCTGAGACAATGGCTTCATAATAAAATTTACAGGTGCAGTCTATCTTGTTGCTGTGCCAACCTCAACATGCAGCTTGCCTGTTGTCAGACAAAGGTGACGGTTCTATCTCCTATTAGCGTGTATGAATGCTAGCCAGAGGGGAAGGAAGAAGTGAAAGGGAAGCCACATATATCTTCACTTTATAGAGATTGTCTCTATTATGTCCAAATCTCATTCTGGTCTGATAGCCGAAGCTGAGAAATCTAGTGTTTGGCAGGATGGGAATGCACCTAACTAAAGCTGGTGTTCTTACTGAATGAATGGTTCTCTGCTTCAGGGGATACAGTGTTGCTTCTCTAATTTCTTAATTACAAGGTGACTCACAAATAGAATGAAAGAGTGCATGAGGTTGTAAGGTGATGGAGGAAGGTCATTGGCTAATAAAGAAACTGCCTTGGCCCATTTGATAGGCCAGCCTTTAGGTGGGTGGAGTAAACAGAGCAGAATGCTGGAAGGAAGAGGAAGTGAGCTCAGACTCGATAGCTCTCCTCTCTGGGGCAGACGCGACGAAACTTCAACCCGGGATGGATGTAGGCTAGAGTGTTCCTGGTAAGCGCACCTCGTGGTGCTACACATGTTAATAGAAATGGGCCCAGCAGTGTTTATATGAAAACAGTTTGTGTGTTGTTATTTCGGGGCATAAGTTAGCCAGGCGGCCAGGAGCTGGGTGGCAGGAATGCAGCCCGCAGCTCCTTCAACAGTAAGGGGTTCAGGAGCAAGACAAAGGAACACAGTATTCAACTAGAAGCCTGAGTTAAGTAGAGACCTACTTAACTGCTTAACTTTAGCTAGGCTATGTGATTTGTGAACAAAAGAAGCAAACAGCGAATCATCCTAACTCCTCTCTGAAGCTTTCACATTAAAACAAAAAACAGTAACAACAACAAACCAAAACAACAACAACAATAACAACAACAAAAAAACCAACCACAGAAAAAACAATGTTTCTACCGATTGAGCACAGTGGTACATTTAGGATGGGACACCTGTTCCCTTCAGTCAAGCGCCTCTGATAAGTCTATGCAGTTGGCCAAGAAAAGTTCGTTTTTGGTGCTGAGAATGTCATGCTCATTTTCTTTATTTCCCAAAGCGTAAAAGAACAGCTTCTGGAAGTGGTTAGCAGATGCTGGAGATGCAGGCATCATATGCACACACGTGAGTGCTCATCTATTAAGCTAAGATTTCCCATTATTTTCTTAACCTAGATAGGCAAAGGGGAGCCTTGGGAAGCGTCCTCGTTTTTCCTGTCACAATAAACTGGTGATTCAGTGGTCACAAGAGTTTGTAATAAATAACCCACATCGATTTCTCTGTTCCAGAATGATTTTGGCTTCCCTTCCTCCCAGTGGTCTGACATTTGCCCCAAGAGGCAGTGTTAGGAAATCATTTACAAAGTGGTCCAGCCTCTCCATCTGCTATAGTTATAAATCCAAGAATGGGCTGGGACTGAGGCAAGGGATCCAGGACTTCTCATCATTGCTCTGTCAGATACAACTGTGTCCTCGTAGTGGAGAAATCCAGATCCCAGCAGCATCAACAGCCATGGAGAGGCTTCTGTGCTACTTACTGATCTTGATCAGCTTCTCTCAGGCCTTTGTCCAGAAAGGTAGGAGCTATTCTAAAGATCTTGGGTGAGAAGGATGAGAGCCTAATATTTAACATATGAAATTCAAGAAGCAGCATCGGGTACAGATGTGTATTTGTGTAACCTAAGAAAAGGCCAGATGCATCTTGATCCCAAACTCTACTTGTAAATGAGGGATATATCATTGTTATATGAGAAACTACTCACCTTTTTTGGTTTTCTGTCTCACAGACATGTCTAAAACGGCCTTCGTATTTCCCAAAGAGTCAGCCAATTCCTATGTATCCCTGGATGCACTGTCAAAGAAACCACTGACAGCCTTCACTGTGTGTCTCCATATCTACACAGATAAGAGCACAACCCGCAGCTTCAGTATTTTCTCTTATGCTACCAAGAAAGACTCTAATGACATTCTCATATTTTGGAGTAAGGATAGAGGGTATATTTTTGGAGTGGGTGGGCCTGAAATAGTGTTCAAGGCTTCTGAAATTCCTGAATCTCCAACACACATCTGTGCCAGCTGGGAGTCTGCTATGGGGCTTGTAGAATTCTGGGTTGATGGGAAACCCAAGGTGCGGAAAAGTCTTCAAAAGGGCTACACTGTGGCGACAGATGCAAGCATCATCCTGGGGGCAAGAGCAGGACTCATATGGTGGTAGTTTTGATATAAACCAGTCTTTTGTGGGAGACATCGGAGATGTGAACATGTGGGACACTGTGCTATCTCCAGAACAGATCAATACAGTGTATGTTGGCGGGTCACTCAGCCCCAATGTTTTGAACTGGCAGACACTCAAGTATGCAGTACAGGGTGACGTGTTTATCAGGTCCCAGCTATGGCCCTGACCTACTGTTGTGAGTCACGAGACACCTCCTGGGATTACATTCTCTCCCTTGTCTCCGGTTATAGACCTTTTAACACCAACAGATGCTGCAGCTCTAGTCTGTGAATATGGCCCTTCCACCTCCCTGCTCTGCCTTCCTCGGCACCAGGGCATGACATTGAAGTGTATGGCATTAGTTTGTGCATCACACTGGGAATCTTTATCAAAGAGAATCGGAAAGTTGCATGTTTTTGTTTTTGATTTTTTTGAGACAGGGCTTCTCTGGGTAACAGCCCCGCTGTCATGGACCTTGCTCTGTAGACCACGCTGGCCTTGAACTCATTGAGATCCACCTGCCTCTGCCTCCCAAGTAATGGGATTAAAGGTCTGTGCCACATCACCTGACTTTTATAATATATATTTTTAATTGAAAGAATTTTAAACAATCACTCACTCTCACATAGATGAGAAAACAGACATACAAAAAGAAGAGTGAATTTTTTTATTTAAATTTTTTGTTTAAAGAATTTTACACATGAATGCTGTATTTACTTCATTTCTACCTATCCCTCTCCAAATCCTCCTGTGTTTGATCTCTTATTTATTAGTTTTATATGCATACACATAAATACATACAATATGTACCATCTGTCTGTCTGTCTATCAATCATCTATCTATCTATCTATCTATCTATCTATCTATCTATCTATCTTCCATTTAGCATTGCATGGATCTTGTTGAGGGTTGACCACCTGGGACTGGATAACCTATGGGTCGGGCGGCACACCCCTGAAGAAAACTGATGCTCCTTTTCTCAGCAGCCATTGGTCGCCTGTGGCTTTCATACAGAGGTGGGACTTGGTGAAATTTCTTCTATCTGTGTTGCATGTAAACTAGTGTTGCCATTATGAAGGTCTTGTTTTGGCAACCCAGAAAGATGGAACACTGTCTGCACTGTGCTCAGAGTCAGTTCTTTTCTGAAATAAAATCTGTATCTGAACTTCCCACGAGTCAATAAAGCCACTATGGTTTAAATAAATCGGGGCTGTTTCATGACTAACTTCATTATCAACACTCTGAAATCAAGAGCCTGAGTTCAAGCTGATGTTGCTGCCTTGCAGGACCATATCCATACCACTCGGCCTTCTGCTGCTGAAATCTTCTGTAATGAGTCTCTTTGAGAGGCACAGCCCTGTTTTGGAGATAGCTGGCCATTCATGGGTTCAGGTGTGGGGTCTGACACTTTTAGAATTCCAGTTTGGGGGAAAAAACCCTAAATATCATTGAGAGTCATGATGCTGTAGTTAAGGCCCATGATGGAATACGTTTGTTTCATTCTGTTTGTCTTCTTAAAGAAACAGACTCCTGAGGTACCCTTTACCATGGTCTTTCAGAACTGGGTGAATGTTGAAGTTATTTCATAAGGCCCTCCTTATTCAGGGTTGGGGAAGGGGTTCATTAAATCATTGTTTTAGGGAAGGTATATGGTAGACTGGCTAAATATAGAGGTTCTAGGGTTAGGTCCAGGTCTTGGTTTTATAACTTACCAATTTTGTGACCTCTATGACTCAGTTTTCTTACTTACATACAAATTGGGAGAAATGATTTAATACACTTAAAGGGTCATTGTAAGAGCCAGATATGATCACACCAATAGAAATCTCTTATAAAAGTCACCCTCTGTTATTGTTAGTGGACATTGTACTCTATGCATAAACATTATACACCCTGAAAATACCACTGCTGGGATTTGTCTAGGTTGGCAGCAAGTGAGTTTCTGTTTTGCTAAGAATTTAGTTTGGACCATTAGGAGAATGAACAGAGTGTCTTTGAAGAAATTATTTATGAATATCGATTCCCCTAATTGACCTTTGATAACCATTTAGAAGCACAAGAGTTAAGAAAATACATTCTTAGGCAAAACTGTGAGTGCAAATAATTCTCCATTGTCCAATTAGGGTAGATCCATACACCCTGACACTCAGCTAAGTGGGAGAGAGGGTTGATGCTCTTCTCTAGTTAACGAATCTAACCAAGAGATATGTCTTAATTATAGAAGTCCGTTCCAACTCCCCAGGGATGTGGGATGAGCTAATATGTTCTTCAGAATTCAATTATGGGTATCTTGCTACTCACAGTCGAGTGGAGAGCCTCTGGCCCTGATGGTTTTGTCCAGGGAAATTTTAACAGGTAGCATTTACATTCCGTGTGGATTAAAAAATGTTAATAAATTATTTCTATAGTGCTTAAATTTAAGCAATTTAACCTACTGGTGAATACTTTGATGTAATCTTTTTAGAAAATGTATTCCTAGGTACCTGGTGAATTATCATCCGATATGAAGTTGTTAGATGTAATCTAATAAAATGCTATCTACTGAGGATGATTTTGTTTTGGGAATGTTGGTGCCATCATTTTATATTTTTGTAAGTGGATAATACCAATCTTCCATGTTCATCATGCTCTTCCATTGCTCTTGGGAGTGCAAACTTGTACAGTTGCCTTGGAAATCAATATGGCAATTTCTCAGAAAATTAGGAAACAATCTACCTCAAGACCCAGCATTTTCACGGTTGGGTATATACCCAAAAGATGCTCAATTATACAACAAGGACATGTCCTCAAGTATGTTCATAGCAGCATTGTTTGTCATAGCCAGAACCTGGAAACAACCTAGATGCCCCTTAACCGAAAAATGGATAAAGAAAATGTGGTATATTTACACAATGGAGTAACTACATAGCAGTAAAAAATAATGACATCTTGCAATTTGCATGCGAATGGATGGATCTAGGAAAAACCATATTGAGTGAGGTAACCCAGACCTGGAAAGACAAATATAATCTGTACCGGGTGATATTGGTAATACTGTGTCAATACATGTCTTCCCAGAGTTTATACATCCAGCTTATCCAGTAACATTAAAGTACAAGTTAAAAAGACAGAGAGCCATGCTGTACTTAAACTCTGATATTAAAACTAGGCAGTAGCTAGGAAGATGGCTCAGTTGGTAAAGCACTTGTCTTACAAGTCTGAGGATCTGAGTTCAGTCCCCAGAGCCTACACAAAGTTGCCAGGCATGGTGGTCCATCCTTGATCCAACACTGGGGAGGTAGAGACAAGAGGACTTCCAAGGCTCACCAGTCAGTCAGTCAGTCTCATCTAACTGGTAAGCTCTGGAGAAATGGGGGATGCTGTTTCAAAATAGATAGATGGTGTTCCTGAGGATGATCCACTCCCGAGAATATTTTCTGTCTCTTACATTCAAGTACAAATAAATGTGCACACAACTGCACACACCTGTGCACAGGTAAATAGGCACAAGCATACACATGCACACATATAAACAAGGAAAAATGATATGCCTTGTTTCCTGGCCTGGAAGGTAAGTTAAGTGGGATTATTTGTTTATTTTTTCCTAGTTCAGTTTCCCTGGACACCTGGCCCAGTGACACCCTATAGACTAACATGGAAACCATTACCTCTGGGATGTGGATCCTGAGTGTAGACTCACTTGGCTTCAGAACTGCTAGGCCAGACTCTCTGGAGTTAGAGCCTGGGAACGTAACACATCATATTCCCAGTGTGCGTCAGAACCAGTCATCTGGTGGGCATTCATCGTTCCCAAGAAGCTTCAAGGCAGGTGTGGCTGTCTTTAAAGAAGGTTCTAGAAGAGATAGACCCAGAAAATACCCCTGACCCAGCTTTGGTGCATGCTCCATGCTCTGTGAACATGAATACGTGAACTCGTCATGTCCCATTGAGGCTCTGTCTAATAACAAGGCAGATCCCTCATAATATTTAAAAATACTCTGCTGGGCGGTGGTAGTGCACAATTGTAATCCTAGCACTTGGGAGGCAGAGGCAGGCAGATCTCTGTGAGTTCGAGGCCAGCCTGGTCTACCAGGGCTAGTTCTAGGACAGGTTCCAAATCTACAGAGAAACCCTGTTTCAAAAAACAAAACAAAACAAAACAAACAAACAAACAAAAACAAAAAAACCACCCTATTCTTTTTCAAAAATATTTTTATTTTTGAAATTAAATATATATTTATTTAAAAATATATATCAAATATAAATATATCATTTCCCCCTTTCTACCATTTAACCCTTCCCACACACCTCCCCTTGCTTGTCTTGAAATGTGTGGATTCTGTTTCTTTAATTATTGTTATACTGTCACACACACACACACACACACACACACACTGTATTCTTTTTTTTTGAGTTTTATTGAGTTCTACATTTTTCTCTGCTCCCCTCCCTGTCTCTCCCCTCCCCCCTTCAAACCTCCCCCAAGGTCCCCATGCTCCCAAATTTATTCAGAAGATCTTGTCTTTTTCTACTTCCCATGTAGATTAGGTCTATGTAAGTCTCTCTTAGTGTCCTCATTGTCGTCTAAGTTGTTTGTAGGCTGGTTTTCTTTGCTTTATGTTTAAAAACCACCTATGAGTAAGTACATGTGATAGTTGTCTTTCTGTGTCTGGGTTACCTCACTCAAAATAATGTTTTTAGCTCCATCCATTTTCCTGCAAAATTCAAGATGTCGTTATTTTTTTCTGCTGTGTAGTACTCCGCTGTGTAAATGTACCACGTTTTCCTTATCCATTCTTCAGTTGAGGGGCATTTAGGTTGTTTCCAGGTTCTGGCTATGACAAACAATGCTGCTTTGAACATAGTTGAGCACATGTCTTTGTAGCACGATTGAGCATCCTTTGGATATATATCCCAAAGTGGTATTACTGGGTCTTGAGGAAGGTTGTTTTCTAATTTTCTGAGAAATCGGATCTTGGCCATTCTTACAGGTGTAAGATGAAATCTCAGAGTTATTTTGATTTGCATTTCTCTGATGACTAAGGATGTTGAACATTTCCTTAAGTGTCTTTCAGCCATTTTAGATTCCTCTGTTGAGAGTTCTCTGTTTAGGTCTGTATTCTTAAATATATAAATTCAGCCTGTTGAGTCTATATAAAATTACTTGTATGTATGTTTTAAGGGCTCACCACTTGGTATTGGATAACCAGTTGGTGTGCTTTTTCCTGGGGGAACAGGTAGTTTTCTGTGAGCTTATCTCCCAGAAATGTCAGAGAAGCTAAAAGTACCTTATTCTGATCTGAGCCTTTATCATACACCAGACACTAAGTCCTTTAAACACACTTATTTGACAGTTCTATAAAGATTCATTTTAGAATGCTTACTTTTAATTTTTTTATATTTATTCTTCTCTCATATATTACATCCCTATCTTAGTTTCCCCTCTCCCCACTCCTCCCAATTTTGCACTTCCCTCTCCCCTAAATATACTGCTCCTCCATTTTCCTTCAGAAAAGGGCAGGCCTCCCAGGGATATCAACCAAACACAGCATACTAAGTTACAATAAGACCAGGTACAAATGCTCATATCAAGATGAGGGAGGCAACCCAAATAGGAGGAAAAGGATCCCAAGAGTAGGTAAAACAGTTAGAGACACCCCCATTCCCACTGTTAGAAGTCCCACAAAAACACCAAGCTACACAAACACAACATACATGCAGAAGGCCTAGGCCAGATCCATGCAGGTTTGCTGATGGTTGGTTCAGTCTCTGTGAGCCCCTGTGAGCCCTGCTTAGTTGATTCTGTTGGTTGTGTTCTCATGGTGGATTGAAGGAGCACAGACTCTCTCTCTCTCTCTCTCTCTCTCTCTCTCTCTCTCTCTGTCTCTCTTAGTAGACTTGGACTCACTATACAGATTAGGCTGGCCTCAAACCCATAGAGATCTTGCCTTTGTCTCCTGAGTTCTGGGTTAAAGGCATATGTCACCATGAACAGCTACGTTTTGTTTTCTATGGAAGGAAACCAAGGTCTGAAGAGGTTAGTTAACTTTCTGAGAGGTGGTATCTGAATCGAGACCATGTAGCCTCTAACCACGTGTGTCTTACCACCGCACTTATCTGCCAGCGGATCCGTGCCTTATCACCGCACTGTTCTCAAGTAAACAGGGATATGTATGTCTTCCCTTAAGGAATGCCCATACTTAATTTCTTTTCTTGAGGCAGGGT